GAATAATCGAATTATTCAAATTGTCCACAATTGTTCATATGTTGGAAGTAGGTATGAATGAAGATTGTCATGAATAGGTGTGTAGAGTGTCTAAATGGTTTTAGACATAAAAAAAGATTGTTGCAACGTTCATGAGTGCTTATGAACTAGTTTTAAGCATTGCAACAAACTCGCGCTTGCTGGAATCACCTTATGGAATGTGATAGAAAAGGGTGATCGCAAGACGATAATATCATATACTCTTAAAACCTAGATATATGGTTTGTTATTGGTTAATTGATTGTACATTGATAATGCAAAAACGCATTGGTAACTCGATGTTATAAAACACATTGTTGTGTATAATTGGTTAATGAATAAGTGAATGCATATAAGTCGAAGTTTATCTGTTACTTTTATCCTTTGAAGAAAAATTTTGATATCTCGGCCGCTCGATGATTTGATTTGACTTATGTGTCGGGCCCGGTCAGAACTGAATTGATGTGTTCGATTAAGTTCTATGTCAAATAAATCGGAGATCGAGAAACCAAATGCTAGACTAATCATTCTATAGAATTGTCAACATGATATCTAACAGAGGATTGTACGATCCCTTATCTTAAGGACAAGATTGATTAGATCAGAGTTGACAGCGTCTTTGAGAGCTACGATTGCAAATCGGAATGTACCTGCGCATATAGTTACTAGACTTATCCAAGTGGGAGACTGTTGGAATAGTGTCTAAAGCTACAACTATATTAGGCAAGTATTTGACCCGATTGTGCATGGTCCTTTTGGGTTGCCTTCACCATAGTAACTTGGTAGGATGATTTATTATGAGAGAATAGATATTATTAATATATTATGAGAATAATATAAGGAATAATAATATAGTTATTTGATTAATATAAGTCATAGATTAATTAGTATTAATTTGGTGACTTAAGGAGATTAATTAAATAAGAGGGTATAAACTGTCAATTGTTTGATAATTAAACTTTAGACTGTAAATCCTTATTGGATAGAGGTTGGACGATTTCTAGGCTAAGATAAGTCTTACATTCGTCCAAGGCATTATCTTGGGAAGGATTTGGATTGCTTTGAGTAATAGTTATCCAACTAGGGTTTGAGTTGTAACCCTTAAGGAGTCTACAAGTATAAATAGACCCTATGGCAAAGGAAAATCAGCACTTCATTAAGAATAGAGAACCTATGGCCGATTTCCTCCTCTCTCCTCTCTCAAATCATTCTCTTTGCTAGTTGGTGTTTGTAAGCCATTAGAGGAGTGACAATTGTGACTCTAGAGCTCCAAGAACAAGAAGATCAAACAAGTGTTTCAAGGTATGCTTCTAACTCTGATTTTGTATTGTTCTTATACCTAATTAGCCATTAGAAGTCTTGGATTCAAAGCATGTTTAACTAGAGAAACCTACATCCGAGCATTAGGGTTTGTATGCGCACTTAGGAATGTTCTTATGTACAAAACCCATCAATAACTTCTTCGTTATAACTCGGATTTCAGCATTCTTTATATTTTCAGAAACCTCGTTTCAACCTGTACATCTTCGTGCATCAATATCAGGTTTATATAACATTTCATTTTTACGATTATTTTTATTCTTGATTAAATTAAATCACATAATTAAGCAGATAAGTATTAAACATATAATTCTCAGTTAATACATTATTATTACTTCAAATTGGGTTACAAAGGTTAACCTAGAATATTACATTGCTAAAAATGGCAAGCCCAGAAACACAGGCGTTACAGGATATGATGGTAATTTTGTTGGAAATACAACATCTGAGAATCAATTATGAAGTAATATAATAACTGGAAATGGTAATCTCAAGGGTGGTTTTCTGGGATTGGATACTATAGTTTGAATATAAAACAATAAGAATGGTATAATGGTAATTCTATTGGATAACACCATGTAGGAAGAAAATATAAAGGGGTGTAACAGTTGGAATTAAAAGGATCATAATGGAGAAATAGGTAAATCACTTTGTAACATAGGGGAAATCATACAACGAAACGTAGCAAAAAAATGATTGCTTTATTAGTATAAGGAGATTGTAGGACTGTGGGTTAGGGAGGGTGGAGCCCAATGTTATGAAATAAGCGATATTTATATCCTACATTGGTATTGTGAGAATTTTTTATGATGTAAAGATATGTCCCAAAAGAAGAAGTGAAGAAATGATGCATATACAACCCCGCTCCCCCCCCCCCCCCTCCCCAACATGATAAGAAAGAAGTGTCAAATACGTGGTCAGTACTTGGATTCTTGAAATAAAGATGGCATTTGACATGTGTGAATGTCATGATGACCAAAGAACAAAACTTTCGATGAATACAATGACGAATTGAGCCTTAACTTCATGGAATAACATCATGAAACTATTTAACTTAACCATATTGAATAACTTGTCATGGAATGTTTTCCTTGAATTTTTTTTGGCATGGCAGAGGAATCTACCAAACTTGAGAAAGATTTCCTTACTACGAAGAAAAATAAATTGGCCGATGTGGAGTTTAATGCAAGTTCATAGACCATATGATCTTTTAAAAGATTCATTGTCCCTGTCCAACAACGAAAGTTAGTCAATAAGTTAAAAGCAACCCTAGATATATCAAGTTACCATGAGTGAAGCAACTACTCTAGCCAAGGTCATTTGTACAACTAGAATTGTTTTATTTTATATAATGTTTACATTTACCTAACCATGTTATTACTCACCATGCTTCCCAAGCCTAATACACAATTTTTATATATGGTTATCTTAGTAGAAATCATGCGGTGTTATATTGTGTGGAGATCCAGGAGCCTTGTAGACATTTAGAAGACTATGTTGATGGTATGTTTGAAATAGTTATACATTTTACCTTTATGTCTCTTAAAAGATTTGTAATTGTCTGGTTTCGAATTGTTAAAAGACTAAAGTTTATGTGACATTATTGTATGTTTCTAATAAAAATACTTTACAAACAATTTAAACGATATTTTAAAGATTATTTCAAACTTCCCATACAAGAGGTGTTTCATACATCTTTTAGGAATACTCATTTTCCTCTTCATCATCATCGTTTTCGTCCCACCATTGGCTTATCTATATATTTATTATGATCAACAAACATATATTCCGAATTATCCATCACCTATAGAGCATTAGTAGTGACATCATCTTGTGAGTATTGATCATCTATATCATAAAAGTCATGTAGTGTATGATCAGCACGGAACCATCAGCCATATTCTAGCTTAACCATCACATATCATCCACCATAATGGCAGTAGTTAACAACAATGGTGAAGTCTTGTGGTGTAGCGTTAAGGAGGACGGGTTATCACACCAAGCCTTATTCTTTGATATTCTTTCTTTTATCTTCTTCTTGAACACCATCAAAATATTTGGAGCTGTCTATCCATCGTGCATAGGGGCATCATAATTCATAATAACTAAAGTTAATTATAAGTTAATGGTTGGTTAATAAATAATAACTATAGTGGATGATATGTCATGGCCTCATGGGCAAGGTTCTAAAAAACGTAAGACGTGATTTGACAGTGAGATCAAAGTTAAGTTGTGTCAAACCTTGGCGAGCTATGGCGTTTTTCAAGGCGTGACTATTTTATATACATTAAAAGAGATAAATCATATAATTATTGAATTGTATTACATATATGAAGTTTTTAGAAGTGTTATATTAATATTTAATATAAAAAAGTTAACAAAAACTCAATTATTTTAGGTCTGACAAAAAAACAAAAAAATAATCAAAAAAATCCACGCTTTGAAAAAAACTTGCACCATAATAAGATAAGGCATGACTTGACACATTATTTGGGCGTCACGTTTAACAAACCCGCCTTCGATGTTTTTGTAACGGTAACATCACACCTTGCACCATGCCTTACGCGCTTTTTAGAACCATGGTCATGAGTGAGTGACAAACAACTCTCCTAAATAATGATGACCATCTTTTACCAACCATAGCACCCTTGGGATGACATCAATATTCTGTCTCGAGAACTCGACGACTATTTTGGGAAACATCTCCCATATCCAAATCTATAAAGTCGTACAATAACAAACATTTACCAACATATTATTGTTTTAATATAACTTTAAAACTAATTAGAACTTATTATACCTTGAAAACATAAACTAATCCCTGGACACTATACTATATTACCTCCTTCGCTTTTTTTTCATACTCTTTGTCTTCGGTTTATCCATCGGATTCACCTCCCTAGCAACTTCTTAAAGTTATGCATGCTTTTCCATATTAATAATCACCATGGGTATAACTAAACAATAAAGTGATGATCAATAATAATAATAATAATAATAATAATAATAATAAATAAAAAAATAAAAAAAAATAAAAAACAATATCTTTATTTACAAGTGTAACACTCCCACATTTTAACTAGAGATAAGAAAAAATCATCACGTCCAAAGCACAACTTGTATTCTCTAAACATGAAACCACAACACCATCATCATTGTCACAACAGAAAGAGGATTTATGGTAGTAAAGGCATGGTAATAATCATGATTGAAAACATGTCATAAAATGTGGGTAAAACATGTCATAAATGTGGGTAGATATTGAAACAAAAATACAGTTACATACTTACACAAATATAATTACACCCAAAACCTTTATTAAGGAAGTTTTTTTTTCAAAAAAAAAATCTATTATTTTCAAGGATAAACGTATAACCTTTTCTAAGCATGTAAATATATATGTATATTTTTTGAAACTTTTTGTTAGATGAGATTTAATGATTTATTAAACAAAAGTTAAAAATATAATTAAAAAAAAAAAAAGGAGTCAAACCAGGTTTTGTTTACAAAGTTCTCAAACCAAACTTACCCCTTTGACCTTAAACCAGTTAAAGTGACATGGCCAAAACCAGTGAAACCAAAGTATTGTAATAAATTGTGAGCAGTGATTTAATATTTGAATATAAAATTTATAGACTACTATTGTAGCCTCTCATAGCATCCATGCACAGTACAAAAGAACCCAAACTAGCTAATTATTACACATCAATCAGAATTCAGACATCGACATCGCCATCACCATCGCCGCCCTTTGATGAGCTTCCAGCGATGGAGATGATGGTGTCAATCCTCTCAGATTTAATATCTTCCACAATCAAATTACTCTCAGAAGAAGAACATGTCCCGTCTGTCAGATCACTATGATCATGACCACCTACTTCTGACGACAATGACGATGCCGATGAGGAAGTGACGGTAGTAATCGGTATGGGTTCTGTCAGTGTCCGGCCATCCCGCGGCGGCGTCAGGACAACCGGCATATACTCCTCCGCCTCACGTGGGAACTTTGAGTTCTTGAAATGCTGCTTCAATGCCTCCAAACCCTGCTCAAATTTTCAGACTTCTTATTTTAAACAATAAATGCATATATTATTTTTTTTTTACCAAAATAGCAAAAATACAATCATTTTTTACATCACTACCAATAAGGTCAACAACGCATTTTACTTTTAATATTATCTGTCAAAAAATTAAACGATATTCCCAAAATAGACATTGAAATTTTAAGGCCTGAGATATCATGTGTAAACAAATTGCTATTATCAGGAAAATTATAAATGTACACCTTACAAATATTGTAAACAAGCTATGAACAAGTAGTTTTTTTTTTTGAAAAAATATTAAGGACACTATTAAAAAAAATTAGGTGGAAAAATACCTGTAGCCTGGCATAAGAAACCTCACAGATCTTCTTAGAGTTAAAAACCTCCCAATTTTGATGGTGAAATGACTTATATAACCTCCATGTTGCCTCCGGTGAGGTCATGTTCACAAACCCATACCCTACATTGCATTTGTTCCTGTCCAAAATCATACATAAAATCACATTTAATTCCACTAAATAAATTAAATTTAGAGATTTTGATGAAAAACATACGCAAAATCGATTGGTAGATACACAAAATCATAAGCAGACAATGGCTGATCGCCGCCCTCAGCCTCCACCTGCTCGTTGCAGTGAATGCAGTGGTTGTCCAGCATGTTCAACACCAGTTTCTGGCTGCAAATACAATTTCGATTTCAACTTTTTGCTAATATTTTAATGAAATTTACCATGAATTTAATATAAACCTGTATTTGTTGGGGATGTTCTTGATCATTACTGTTGTTCTTGAATCTCGGAGGCTTGAAACAATCGCATCTTCTTTGATTAAAAACATTGTATCGCATTTCTCACGGGTGTAACGCGATCCTTTCCATGGTTTATTCCGGCAACCAATAACACCACCACCGCCGCCGCCGCCAACACATCTCCCTTGTTGCTCGGGCGGTTGCTCATGCTTATTAAAATATTTCCCATTCTTTTTGTAACCACCATGCGGAGAATCTATATCGGCCAACCTATCTTTCCTATACGGTGGTGGTTGTGGTGACGTAGGGCTGCAAGGAAGGATGGGCGGAGGAGGAACTCCATTAGCATAAATGTGATTTACTTTATTTTGTTTGTGATGATATTTATGCCCACCGGCACGACTGAACTCCACCACCACCTGCTTCCCGGCAATGTCTTGGCCGTTGACGGTGGCGACGGCCTTCGCAGCGTCTCGAACGTCGTAAAACTCCACTGATTTTTGGTTTTTCTTCGATGGCGTATCCCTAATTTCCTTCACACACCCTAGAAAAGATAAGTCGTTTAAATTTCAAAATAAAGTGAAATATAAATTTTAATAGAAGAGACAACAAATATATCTGCATCATCAGGATTTGTTTTCAAAAAGATAGCGAAAGCGACCTATCACGATCAACAAATATGCCCAAATATTAGCCTCATGCCTACACATTTACACAACCCTCATAATCTCCAAATGTTTTGGTGTTGCAAATGTTGGCTCCAAGTTGTAATTAAAACGAATTCGAATTTGAATTTACCAAAAGCTTCAAAGATTGGTCTAAGAACGGCGGAAGAGACGTCGGAATCTAAGTTGAGTATAACGACGGTGCCTTGGTTGTAACCATCGGGAAGTCCAGCGGTGACTGGGAAAGCAAACTGTGCCCAGATAGCGCGGCCGGATATGAGTCCACGCGCCGGTGGAGGGAGAGGAGGTGGATTGGTGGGAGACAAGAACATAAGTCCTTCAAAGTGTTTCCGGAGTCTGCACTGTTGTTGCATGTGTTGTTCTTGAATCTTGTTAAGAGCCTCAGTCGCCTGTCGGAGATCGTAAAAATGAACGGTGACGACTCCGTCTCGTAGTCTCTCCATCTGTACGGCTCTCACGTCGCCGAACACCTCTAACTCCCTCCGTACAGTCGATTCACTCGCGTCAGCGGGAACGGAGCTCAATAAAAGCACCCGGGTTGGTACGGTTGACGGCGAGGGAAGTATCGTCGGTGTGCCTGGAATCATATACGCCTCCACCGGCGCCAACGAAGGCGGTGATGGTAGCGACGGTGGGTATGAATAGTATACAGGATGCAAGGGAAAAGGTGATACGGCGGTTCTGGTGTACGGAAACGATGGTCGGAATTCTTGCGCTGATGGGTCTAAAGGAAGGGGAAACCGGACAAATCCGTCGTCGACCATGGTTGTTTTTCTTTTGGCCGGATAAGAGGGCGGACAGTTCTGCAAAGCTGATTTTCCGCCGGGAGAAGATGAAAAGTTGGGGAAATCAGAAAAGACAGGGTGAGGATGTAAGCATGAATTGGTGTGTGTATATATGTGTGTCTCTTGAAAGGAACAAAAAGAGTTGGAGTTCTTCCATGGCATTAATGGCGAAAATCTTTAGCTCTGTGTGTATTTCCATATATGAAAATAATAGAATGTACGGTTCAGTGTTTGTCATATAAAATTACACTTTAGACATTGATATTTAAGGCATTTCCTCATTGGTTCAATAACCAAAACATTTTCTATTAGAGAATATATAATGATATTGGACACCTATCTGTATTTGTAATTAAACTTCCATTTTTATTTTCTTTGCGGTCTTTATGACTTAGTTTCTTTGTGGATTTAATCCTTTAGTAAATTGAAATTATGGTAATATCATTGGAGTATTCATTTTTTATTTTTCTCAAATCTAATAGTAATTAAAAATAAAAGAGCCCCTCTCTCTCACACTCTAAAGAAAAAAAAAAAAAAAAAAAAAAAAAAAAAAAACTCACACCAATCCATCTTCTTTCATCCCCATGTTTTCCTACCTTAACTTTGTCCAGATTACACAATGCAAATATTTTCTCTCGAATGGGCAATTGATTAGTATGTGATCAGCATAATCCAGTCCGGATTATAGAAAATGAAAGTTATTTCCTTTTTATACATGTTATAACATAAAAATAAATTAACAAAGAAGATAACACCAGCATCAAGAATCATAAATATCTTGTAACTCAACACCATAAATTAAAACAAAAATCAATACAAAAACCAAACTTACAAGTTATGACAGCAGAAAACAAACTTCTAATACGTATTTACTAGGTATATAATTGAAACAATAATCAATACATAAAACCTAAATTAAATGGATATTAATCAAGCATTTTCTTCATGAACTGCTGAAGAATGAAGTTTAAAGTAACTATAGTAATTGATTGTAAGGACATATATTGGGGTTTATTAACAATAATGCTTCTAAATGATTCGACTGTGTATCTAAAATCAGAATTCAGCATATCGTTGCTGATCAAATCCAGTTTGGAGACGAACTTGACCAATATCAACAAGTATTGGTTCAATTTATTGGACAAACCCCGTAGTATCCATAACAGACTTCTTGTTCCAAATAATGACATCACCACTACTAGTTAAACTGAACCAACTTTTTGGAAAGGGATCTTCCCTAACGAGGGTTTCCGGGCCAGCTTTCGTGCACCGACTAATCCCCCGCTGCAAACATAAAGCTTTGCTTCATGCCCTGGAGTCACTGCAGACGAACCTCCATGGCCACAAGGGCTGAGTGGTGCCAGGATTTGAACATGGGTCAATAGGTTATCCTCCATATCTTCCACATGCCTTACCAAGTCACCACAACCCAAGTGGTTAACTGAACCAACTTTATTAAACTCGATTCGGTATTTAAGTTTAACTAAAGTTATTTACTTTTCTTAAAGCAATTATTATGAAATAAAAATCGTAAATTATTGATGAAGAACTATAAGATACTCTGGAGTAAAAAAATATGAATAAATGAAAGATGGAACTTACGTGTACGAAGGGGATTTTCGTGTATAAGGTAACCCTCATCGACCCCGGTTGTTTTCCAATTTCTTGCACCTTGGATCCCATTCCATTGTCATTGTGATGTTTATTGAATAATATTTCTAATTGGAACTGATAAACCATCGATTAGTCCCTAATGCACACGATTTAGTCTTGATGATACATATGGTGAGGCATGGAAGCCTAACCCTTAAAAAATGTTAGGGGGTTTGAAGAACACCTAGAAAAAATTCAAACTCCTCATTAAAGTTTTACGTGGGTGAAATCGTAATCTTGCAGCTTTACATGAGGACCAAATTTATTTGGGAGGTTTTTGTGAGGATAAAACACGCTATAAAAATACCACATGCTTATCATCTTCCCTATCTCATGCACGCAGTGAAAATACGATCTGTGCTACAAGGTTTTGTTGGGCAGCAAAATTGATTTCGATAGGGTTTTGTTAGGGCTGAAAAATCGATTTCTACAGGATTTTGTTAGGTCTATAAGTTGATTTCTTTCTTTTGATAAGGAAGTCGATTTGCATGTGTATGTGTGCGTGATTGTTCATCATTCGATGTTGAATTTGAACCTTAATTGTTTATCATTCGAAGTTGAATCTGCCAAGCACCTCCACATCTTTGATACTTCAATGGAGAAGAAGAAAGTTTGGCTTTCTTCAGTGGGTATCACTTGAAGATGAGTTTACACTGTTTGTGGGTCTGAAAAAATGAAGCTTCGTCTTTACAATGTCAATCACATCATCGTTAGAGAGAGAGAGAGAGGGAGGTGAGGGGTGTGCTCTCTTATTTTTTAATTAATAAAATATAAAAAAAAAGTATTTAAATGCAAAAATAAAAACAAAATGGCTTTTTAGTCTTTTTAGTTTCCGAAAGACCAAAACTACAAGGAAACCAGCTCAAAAGAACCATGAAGCAAAAAAAATCGAGATTTTGACTAAGCTTAAAAAATGCATACCACATGGATCATTTTTGCAAATTTGTCTTAATTTTATTAAATTACATTCCATATTTTCTAGGTATATACATCTAACCATCAAAAAGATTTTTTTTACTTAGTCCAGTAAAATACCAGTATCCCACAACAGATATGAGATGTTAGTGTGGTAGTGTTGTGAAAAGCACTAACGTTGTGAGATGGTGTAGCGACCCTCCCCATGCAACACATTTTCTTTGTACCTCTTTTCTCTTCGTTCTTTTTACAACTTTTTTTTATTTTTTCTTTATACCTCTTTTCTCTTGTTTCTTTTTACAACTTTTTTGATTTTGTATAATACAAAATTTGCTGCCACATATTTGTAAAAATGTTTTATACAACCATATTTTCTATTAGTGAAAAATATGAGATAAGGATAAGAAAAAAAATGGTATGTTTGGCAAGGTGGTGAACGGGTACAACCATCGAGCGATTCAAACTCTAAAAAGTAAATTAAAAGGTAATTTACACGTTTGGTCTCTAACTTATTTTTTTAATTCCGAAAGTTCATTTTGTTTGTTTTTTGTTACACGCTTGGTCCATACAGTTTGTTTTTGTTATACGTTTGATCCCTATCTTACCTAAAAAAAACTATTATTTAAATAGGAAAGGTAAGTAAGGTAAGGTGATGAGGTGGGGTTGGGGGTGTGTTTATTTAAAGAATTTAGAAAATGAAGAGCAAAATAGTCTTTTTATGGAAGAAATAGACCAAAGGCGTAACAAAAATAAACAATTTAAGGTAAGAACCAAACATGTAAATTACCTAAACCATAGGGACCATTTATGTATATTACTCAACTCTAAATTCTATTAAAAACACTACTTTTGAATTTGTTCTAGCTGTTTATATGCTCCAAAAAGCGTTTTTTGCAATTTATTATATTTTAAAAGAAAATTAATTCATTATTAAATAAATATAAACTTAAAGTGATTTTCTCAAAGGAAAAAAAATCAATGGTTAAATCAAGAATAATTATTTCATTTGAAGTAATTAAATTAAACTTTAATTAATAGATACGATATAGTCAAAATAAAAAACTTAAAAATGGGGAGTTAACTTTTCAAAGCTAGGAATTATGGTATGCCAATCGATTTATTCTATTTGACAATAAATTGGATTCTAAAAAGTTACGATTTTAAATCTCTACGTTAAAGTTAAAATAGAGGTTAATTGGTTAAAAATGCTAACAGGGTGTCATATTGGAAGTAAACCTAAAATTAGGATGTTAAGAGGCTATAGTGGAAATATCGGATCTAAAGCCCCAAGATTCACTTTGTCTCTTCATTTGAATCAATTGGGAGTTTAGAGAGGGAGATAAATCCATTTTTTTAATATATATATATATATATATATATTAGAACGGCGATGTTAGTATTTGCTTGGGATTGAACCCAAGACTTCCTGGTTAGAAACTCCTAGTTAGGCTCGAACATTAATTTCACTCGAGGGATATTTAAGATAACATACTTGTATTTTTAAGCGATATTTAAGATAACATTCTTGTATTTTTAAGCTTTGAATATGTTCTTTACTTTTTAGAGAAATCTAACCAAATTTATTAATGATTTTTTATTTTTTAACTAAAATTTATGATTTATTTTAAAATAGTCATCGAAACCGTAGGTGGTTAAAATGGTCTATTGTTTCGTCCATTTACCTACGGTTTTGATTTTAGTATATAAGGATTTTTTTTTTTTTTTTCATTTTTCACTACGAAACCATAAATGAAAAAATGGTCTACGGTTTCCTCTGAGAAGTCTGTTGTTTCCCAAATAGTAGATTAAAAATGGTCTAGTGTTTCGTCCAAAACCTGGTTTTCGAGGTTTTTTTAAGATGAAAAAAAACACTAACTTTTACTCTAAAAAAGATTTTTCTTTTTATATATATACTAGATACGAAATAGTAGTCAAAATACATGAATTAGTAGTCAAATACCCAAAAAAACCCAAAAATCGTAGGTTTTTAGACGAAATAGTAGATCGTTTTTAATTTACTATTTGGGAAACAGTAGACTTCTCAGAGAAAACAGTAGACCATATTTTCGTCTACGGTTTCGTAGTGAAAAAAAAAAGTTCTTATATACTAATATCAAAACCGTAGGTAAATGGGCGAAACATTATGTCATTTTAATCGTCTACGGTTTCGATGATTATTTTGAAATAAGTCCTAAATTTTGGCTAAAAAGTGATAAGTTATTAATAAATTTTCGTAGATTAGTAATTTTCCCTAAAAAAAATAATGGATCATCTAATTGATCCATGAAACTCGAGATAGATGTTATTTCCAAATATCTAAAATGGGTTAGATGTGGATCTACATGTTGGAAATATTAAGAGAGATGTTTCCGAGAAATGTTTGTAAATTCTATATGCGAATTGGAAACTTTAATGGAAGAGAAGTGTTCAAGTAGTATTGTCACGCTCCCGTCCAAACGGCGGAAACGTCAAGTTGTGCGACGTAGTGATGTTGGATCTCATGCCATAGATATACATTGAATAATATATCAAAATATCATGCAACGTTACTTTTTATCCATTAATAAAACATATTACATAATTATCCGAGATAC